GTCCAGCCAGGATGATTGGGAGGACCAGGACCAACATTGGCTCGTGGGTTACGCGTAGCCCGACTCGGATTTGTTGCAGCATCAAGCAATGCATCGGGTCGTGGGGCCAAAGGCACAAGCCAACCCCGACAAGAAATACATGCGGTGGGTCACATGATCCGCTTGTTGGCGCGTCTCCGCGCTCAGGGATAGGATGGGGCGTCTGACGCAACGTCGTGCCAGCTAATCCATGCTGTGGGATCGTCATGACCAGTGGCTCTGGGACGTGGAGACCCATGGTGAGCCCCGCGTTTCCCAGATGACGACGAGGACCGGCCGCCTCCTGGTCTACGGTCGGCGGCGGCATCTGCATCAAGGACAGAGCTCCACCACGGAGGTACAATCTTCCCTTCCGGGTCGTGGTCGTTTGGCAGCTTGAAGGAAACAACGAAGCGACACTTCCCAGGTGAATCATGGAAGTGGCTTCTGACCCTCTCGGCGCAACCTTCTTATGCGCAGGGCACAGCCAGTAGATGGGATAAGAGTCGTACCAGCGACACTGAGTTGGTCGCGATTCTGGAGAGGGCGCGGTCCACGGTCGAAGGCCTGAACAATTTCTTTACGGGGGCTGAGGAACTACGACAACAAAAACAAACTCATACTCATAAGGGGAGGTCAGAAATCAAGGGCCCCCCCCCTCCCATCCACCCCCACACCCCCACGCCACCCCCGCCCCCGGGGCCCCGGGCACACCCTGTCCCCCCCGCGGGAAAATCATTCGGGGGCTCCAGAACCCCCCCACCCCCACCCGGGAAAATGATTCGGGAACCCAGACACCCTCCCCTCCCCCCCCGCCCCAGGCGGGCGACGACGACGACAACGACGACGACGACGCCGACGCCGACGCCGACGCCGACGCATACGACGGCGCCGACGACGGCGACAACGTCAGCGGCGGCGGCGCACCCGTCGCTAGCACCCGCGCGAGGCGCTGGCAGCTTTTCAGAATCCTATTAGGTCTCCAGAGTCTACCACTCTACTACTCTACACACACTACTCTGCTCGGGGACCGTACACCAACACACTCTACTCTACTTGGCTCCTGTTCTACTGTACTCTATTCCCACTCTACTCAGCTCAGCTCTGCTCTACTCTATTCTATTTCTGTTCAAGTCCGCCGGCCCCTTGTGGGTCTCTAGGCGTGCGGGACTATCCCCCCCAAGGACCCCAAACCGGCAATTTGACCCTCCCACTTGGCCCGGCCCGACCCTGGACTGAACGCGTCACGGGGGGGCTGAGGGCTCCAAAACTCGCCGAAAAGGTACCAAAACGCTCCCCTGACGGTCCCAGATGGTCACGAGTCGCCGAAATATCGCCCCTTGACGCGCACGATGGCCTCCAGACAGCCTCCGACGCTGCCAAGATGCCCCAACAGGCCCCCAAGATGCGTCCCAAGAGGGCCCCCAGAAACAAACATCATCCCGTTCCCTATGAAAAAGGAGCATGTTTCGCATACTCGCCATACGTCCAAGACGGGTAAAGAAACCTTCAATATCGCCCCCGGACGGCCGAAGGGGCCCCCAAGAGGGGTTGAGAAGGGTCCAAAACCAGCCCACGAAGCCTCCAAGACAGCCCAAAAGGGCCCCCAGACGGCTCCAAGAGGGAGTCCAGAAGGCACCTTTTCGAGCCTTCGGCCCCAAGACGCCCCCAGCCTGCCCCAAGAACACCCCAAGAAGCCCTGAGGGACCCCCATGAGAACCTCAAAGGCCTCCAGGAAGCCCCCAGGAAGCCCCCAAGAGGCCCAAAAACTTGGCCCAAGATGCCTCGAGGCGGCCGGATATGGCCTGCACAAGCCAAGATGCCACCAAAAGGCCACAAAAGAGAACCAAGAGGTACGATGACAGCAACGAAACAACAGGAACGATGTCGAGCGCCGTGTCATGATTCGGACAAGCCTCGTGACATGCAGTCCTGGAGGCGCAGTAGTTTATATAGGGGCTGGCGGATGTGGCGTAAACCTATAGAACCGACTCTACTCATCTACTGTTCTCTACTGTTCTCTACTCGACTCTAATCTGATCTACCTCTCCACACTCTACTGTACTATACTTTACGCTGCCGTATCCCAGTCTGCTCTCCTCGACTCCATTATATCCTGCTCTTATCTATGATATTATACTCTACGCCTACTCTACTCTGCTCGTCGTCATCGGCGTCTTCGTAATTGTCGTCGTTGTCGTCGTTGTCGGCGTCGTGGGCATCGTCGTCGCCGGCGTCGACGCTAGGCGCCGGCTCTGATATAATACTAGGGCCCTACTGAACTCTACTCTGTTCGACTCTATTACTCTCGACAATACTCTACTCTACTCTACCCTACTCTACTCTACACGACCGTACACTAACACACTCTACATACTTGGTTCCTGCTCTACTGCACTGTAGCCCCACTCTGCTCAACTCAGCTCTGCTCTACTCTACTCTATTTGTGCTCAACTCGACTCTACTCATCTACTGTTCTCTACTGTTCTCTTCTCGACTCTAATCTGATCTACCTCTCCGCACTCTACTGTAATATACTCTACCCTGCCGTATCCCAGCCTGCTCTACTCGACTCTATTATATCCTGCTCTTCTCTATGCGATTATACTCTACACCTACTCTCTTCTGCTCGTCGTCGGCGTCGGCGTCTTCGCTGTCGTCGTCATTGTCGTCGTTGTCGGCGTCGTCGGCGTCGTCCTCGTCGGCGGCGGCGCTAGGCGCCGGCTCTGATAGAATACTACGTGGGCTGGCTCCAGCTCTTTCAGAATCCTACTAGGTCCCTACTACTGTACTCTGCCCTACTGTACCCTACCCTACCCTACACTACTCTACTCTACTCTCCGCGACTCTGCTATACTCTACCCTATCCTACTCTATCTTACTCTACTCTTCCGTGCCGTACCCTAAAATGAGCTGCTCTGGTCTACTTTTGCTCCTACTCTATTCTGCTCCTACTCTATTCTACGGTCGCCCGTCACCACCCAAGGCCTCCGGCGGGGCCAGGCTCCGCTACCAACTGTGGCAGCAAGCGCAATACTTGTTCCCTTGAGCCACTAACTATGTCAAACATGTAGATACACGTGCTCGGTGAACAAATGCAAAACCTATGACGTAATTTGAGCCTTCCTGTTTCATGCCCACATTCTCGGGCTCCCCGTCCCCCTATGGGACTCTTCTGTGGCTCATTATTGCCATGCTGGGAACCGTCTAGCGGAAAAGTATTCCGGAAAAGTGGCGCGCCGCCCTTGCTGGGCCGGGCGAAACGGGGGGGGGAGAGCAAGGGGGGTAGCGAATCAGCTCACGTAGCCGATTTCGTCGGCGCCTCCTGGCGCTTGAGGCGCCGCGGCCCGGCGTCGGGGCCGAAACCGGCTGTGCGCAGCAGATTTCGCCCCCCCGCCCCCCCCCCCCCGGGTTCCCGATCGCCCTTTCGACCGGTCCGACCCTCCCGAGAGGGCAGGGCGGCGGGGGCGCCTCACGCTGCCCCTGACCTTCTCCTCCTGCCCCCTCCTTTGTTTTTCTCCCGTGCGCCGTGCGGTGACCCGTGGGCGCATGACGGCCCATCAGTAAATATGAGCCAAGCTCCGCGCACGACCACGTAAACTGAAAAGCCCCCTGCTGCCCCCTCCTTCTCGCCAGGCGGCCAGGCATTAAAAAAACACAACGTGCCGTCCCGTCCAGGGGGAGGGAGCGGCGGGGGCGCGCCAAGGCCGTGCGGCGGGAGCCGCGTCCCACGCCGCACAGCCCCCGGGGCCCGGACGAGGGTGAGCGGCGGGGGGGAGCGCTCTGCGGTGCAACGGCCGGGCAGCCAATCCCGCCCGAGACGGAAGAAGAAGAAGAAGAAGCAGGACGTTCGAGACTCGAGGACCGAGGTTCGCCTTCTGGATGTCTTTGATCGTCCTGGGGCGCCCTCGTGGCCACGGCTGGGTCCGCCTCGAGATTCTGGTCAGAGCGCGCCCCACGAGAGGTCCAGAGGTCGAGGCAGGAGAATAAAGACAGCACTACTCTGAAGCAGGACGTCAGGCCCAGATCAAACCTGGGCCTGACGTCCTGCTTCAGAGTAGTGTTTTCTGACGTCCTGCTTTTTTTTTTGAGTAGATAATGCATACGATTTCGACGTTCTTCCTCGGTTTCGGCCTCTGGGCGTGCAATCGGGCCCCAGGGCCATCACAAACTGATCTGGGGTGAAAAAATTGCCCTTGGGAAAATGCCAGGACCTCTGGGGCTGCAGGCTCAAAGAAAACGCATCGCCGGATGTTTGGAGGGAGGGGGACAGACTCATCAATGGTCAATGGAGGGAATATCGAGCTGGAGTCGGCAATACATCGCGGCAGATCGGCGATAGCCCCCCGATGCGGTAGAGGGACACAATTCGTGAGCACCCCCCCTGCCCCCCAAACTCAAAGTTGGCACGCGCGGGGGAGACTGCGGTCGAGGTGCAACTCATCAGACCCACCGCCAGCTTTGAACATTGGGGGGAGGGGGAGGCGTTTACAGATGAATGTGGCACGAGTGTTGGCTATTTTTTCCGAGGCCTGTAGCGAGTCTGCAAGCTCCTGAGCGTGGGGCGGACTATCAAGCCCCCCATCGGCGATCGATGGGCGATTGAGGGTCGATGGTCCCCCCTGAGCCCATGTCCCCCCTAGCGCTGCACTCTGGCTTTCGGGTCATAACTCGGCTCCCTGGCAGCCGTTCGGGAGGATCCGGGCACCCCCGGAACGCCCTCGGCGAGGCGCAGCAGCGCTGTAGAGCACCCCGAGGCTGGAAGTCGCCGAGAACCCACCAAAATCCCCGAAGACCTGAAACATAGACCCCCTCTCGGCCGATCCCCCCGGAGCCTATCGTTGCTCCTGAGATCTGTTTCTCCTGATAGGCAGAACGCCTCGGCCTGGGGACCCCCTCTGGACGGCTGCCCGGGCGCTCTGCCTGACCAGCTGGGCGCCGTGCACCGCGGCGGCAGCGCCCCCGGGCACCGGCAGGCCGCCTTAGAGCTTGTAGTCGAAGAAGCCGCCGAAGTACCTGCGAGGTAGGAGCCTGCTTCTTCATTGTTCGCGAGAACGCCCGTGGCCGGTCCCGCGCCGCCCCCGCCCCCCCTCACTGGCCATGCCACGATTCGCGCTGACGCCGTCTGCAAATGAGCCGTCCTTTGGCATTCCCAGACGGCGCCGGCGCGAATCGTGACGTGGCTGGCCCCTTCCCCCCTCCCCCCCCCTGGTCACGCCCGTGATCGCTAAGGAAATATAATAAACGTTCGCTATATCTGGACCGACCCGGATCATCGGGCGGCGCAGGCAAATCGAAGGCCGGTCTGGAGCTCTGGGCTATTGAGAAAAACACATCGGCGGCTGTCAGGGTATGAGGATGCAGTGCGGAAGACAGATGACATCAGCTAGATTAGATGGTGATGACGTTGCATAGAAAGACTACGACCTACTACGCAATGCCATACCAAAGATCATGCGGGGGACCATCCGGGAGCCCATCATGTCACCGATTCCGCAGCTGGACCCTACAGACAAGCTGTTTATGAGAACTCCGCAATGCGCAATGTAAGCCAGGAAGCTGGAACAAACTTTTTGCGTCAACGGCTATGCAGAGTAACTGCGCTGGCGGAGGAGCTAACTAAACGGGGGCACCTTTGTAGAGAATTGTGCCACAATGCAGGAGAGCGGGAGAAGCTGGAACACAGACACACAAACATACTGAACATGTGGAGGCCAGTTGATGGATACACATCGGAAGCCCAGCCTGCCTGGCCATAGGCTAATAGAAGAGCCGCGCTGGAACGACGTCTGGCCACTGGCGGGTTCTGGAAACCCCGAACCCCAAAATGTTGTCATCTTTTGGGGGGTGCATCGTTTACTTCCGCCAGCTTTCGCCAGCCTTCTGTCGGGTTTCAGCGGCGGAGGGAGGCGGCCTCGTCTTACTTCCACCGCCTCGCCTTCGAGGATCGAAGGAGTTGCCATCTCTTCCTCGGCGGAAGGCGGCGGAAGTTGGAGGCCTGGAAATGGGCACCAACACCAACACAAGGGGTTTGCCTCCACAGGAAGATGATCCGAGGTTTCGGTGTTGTGGTAATATTTCGGTCACCTTGGAAGCCAGAATATGACCACCATCGCCGAGATCGGGATCTTCTTCTCTCAGTGGAGGCACACCGCCGACATTGGTGTTGGTGTCAACCTCTAGGCCTGCGAGGAAGCCCGCGGAAGTAAAACGAGGCCGCCTCCACCGGCGGAAACTGGCCGAAGTAAAACATAATCTTAGAGATGGCAACATGTTTGGGTTCAGGGCTTTCGGAACCAACCACACGTGTCCCCTGCTCTCGCCCAGGCCGGCCACATCATGTGTATCCAACTTCCTGGTAACTAAGAAAAGTAGGATGCAACGAATATTAACGCTTAAGGTTTCAAATTCCAGAGTACCCGGGCCCTGTGTTGCCGCTCAGAACACACAGGCAGAGGAACAGGATGGAGGCCGACACCACGTACACCCCGCTCTGCGAGTAGAGGTCACCCTGGGCCCTGGCGCGCCAGTCCCCTCCCGCCGACGACGGGGCGGCGCGCGACGTTGCTGGCGACGACGACCCGCCGAAGAACTGCATCTCCACGTTGGCCTCGCGCTGGCCGGTGCGCTGGCCCAGCGTCGCCGGCGTCCCAACGAAGCTCAGCCCGAGAGAGGCCACCGACACGGCGGCGACGAGAGCAACGGCGCAAGCGATCAGCGGCGACGAGGAGCGGGCCATGGCGTCGAAGTGTCGACTGCGGCGAGCGGCGCTGGCTGGGCGGGCGAGCGCGAAAGCCGTCGGCGGTGCCCGAGTGCAGAACTTTGGGCCAAAACAGCTGCCGGTAGGAGCTGGAGGAGAACGCACGACGGCCGCGACGGTGGCTTCGCCGAGGCCACGGGAGGGAACACAGTCAGCACGCTGAAAGAAGGACCATTTTGGGCTCAGGAGGGGCTCTGGTTTTCGGATCGCTCCTCAGATCTAAGTCGGGAAACCGATTCGTGGCCGAGGCTAGCCGTGGTCAGACAGGCCCCTTCGTTCCTTATTCAGTGCTCCGAGACGGCAGCACGATGACTGCAGGAGGATGAGCAAGAGCAGGGGCAGAAGCAGAGGCATGAAGGGATGGCGTGATCGAGGAGAACGACTCCCTCTCGACTCGTGCCGTGGGCTGTGCAAGTGCTCGGGCGCGCACTCAGCGAGTCCAACCAACCATCCAATCTCGCACGGCGCGCGGTGTGGCGCCCCTGTGAAACATCGGTTACTAAACCCTTCAGCCGCACACCGTCTCTGGCAAACAGGGAGGACGAAGTACAGGATGAGGAGCCCGACGATCGCGACACCGACGTCTACGACGCCGGCGGCGAAGACAACACGTCGACCGCAAGTTGCACTCCGTTTCTGTAGCTGGATTGATGATGTTATTGGCTCCTCGCGAGCCAAGAGGACCTACGAACATAGCTCCTGTCCTGTCATGCTAAGCTGACTCCTGCACAGGGGGGTCACCGACCCCAGCAAGTACATTGCACAACACGCCCCCTTGGAAGCTCGGCGTGTGTCTAGAGTCGAGCTTTCAGCCGACTCCTGCAGAGGTAACTAGGCTGGGGCGTCCCCCAGGCAAAATACGTATGGCCATCAGCGCGCTATACCACAACGGGTCTGAGCATGTCATGAGAAAATTAATGATATAAAGCATGCCAGATGGAACGTGAGCTCAGATGAGCTCAGCAGAGCGTAGCCGCTCAAGGTCCTCACCCTGGGCCTCAGTACAAAAACAGTCCTCTAGCCTTGGCCTCACTCCCAGCATGCACCTCAAGGAAGGCACCGTGCATGCTGATCAACAATGGCTGGAAACGTGGAGTAGCCCATATCCACTTGTACGTTGTCTGCGATTGAGTGCCAACTGTCCTCCTCATGCGGTTGCTCTGATCCATCGTCGACTTGGTCGACGTGGATAACATGCAGCCACTGCCTGAGTCGATCTTCTTGTCCTTCGCGTCATCGCGCTCGGTCTGGACGAGGAGCCACTCCTGCTCCCCCCAGCTGGCGTAGCGGAACCCCGCGTAGCCGACGACGATGGCCACGACCAACGTCCAGACGACCAGCACAGCCAGTAACTCGTCCAGTCGCTCGCGACCACGCCGTCCTTGGAGCAAACCTCCGCGTCGTAGTAGCCGTCGTGCTCGGTGGCGGGTCCTTCGCACGCTTGGAGGAGCGCTACCGCCGCCGTGATCATCGCCAGGGCCGCTGAGCGGGTCGCACTCGGTGAAGCGGCCAAGCCTGGGGCGCGCCGAACCCGAGCCGCCGCCCCCACGTCGAATTCCACCTCGTCCGGCTGGTGGTCGCTCTCCGCGACCTGGCCCATGTCCGTGTAGATGCCGTTCGTCGTCCTGAGCTTGACGAAGCGCTCGTGCCCGAGGATATTCGTACCCAGGTCGGCCTTGTTGTCGTCGGTGCCGACGGTCCCGAGGTCCATCAGCTTCCTCTTGATCGCCTGCTGGAGCCAAAGCACACGCGCCTCCAGGCCCCTGACCTTGCCAACTCCTTCACGTTTGGCAATCCCTCGGGCCGCCGACGAGTCCGTCAGAAGAGTAGTCGCCACCGTGAAGCCCATGAGCTCCAGGAGCGACTTGAAGTAGAGGAGATCCTCGGCGACTGCCGTCGCCGCATAATACTCTGCCACTCCCGAGCTAGTCGCCACGATCGCCTGGCGCCTGCTGAAGGAGTGCATGGGGGACGCTGTCGATCTCGATATTGCCGCTCGGCTGTGACCTCCTCGTCTGAAGGTCGCCTGCCCAATCGCTGTCGCCGTAGCCCACGAACTCGACGTTCGTGCCCTCCGTCGGTCTCGGAAGCCAGTTCACCGCGTCCCTCGTGCCCATCAGGTATCTGGCCAGCCTCTTGAGTGCGATGAAGGCACCGACGGTGGGGCCTGACAGCATCCTTCCTAGCAGGCTCACCTCATACTGGCAGTCCGCCCTGTCCCGGGCGCAGTACATCAGCGCCCCCACGCACGATCGGTAGACGCCAGCCTGAACGGAAGACAGGGCCGAGGTGCTCCCCATGAGCGCCTTGTGAGCTGGCATCCCTGGCGTGGGCGCCGTGTTCGCGCTCCCGAGGTTGAGGGTCTCCACCACGTAGTCCAGGTACTTCGGGTTCGCCTTCAGCTCTGTCCCGTGCTCGAACCGCGTCCTCAACCTCTTCAGGCGTTCGTAGGTGGTGCCGTGCTCGTGGATCTCGCCGCCGCTGAAGGTCACGCGCTGGCCCAGCTCGTCACGGAAGCCCTCCAGCGCGCCCCTTGGTCCTGCCATGTGCAGGTCGTCCATGTGGAGCTCGACCACCACCTCAGTCTCTGAGTTGTAGAAGAACTGCGGGGCCATCTCGCACCTCGCCATGCGCATCTCGTCCATGAGGATGCCTGCCATGTGCCCCACCCAGCCAGGCGCCGCCGTGCGCCTGCCAGGCAGCTGTCTCTTCAACTTCCAGTAGATGTCCGTGCTATTGCCCTCTGCCTGCAGCCTGTCGAGGTACTCCTGCGGTGGATCCACCGCCACATCCTCGCGCTCGGGCGCCTGGTAGAAGGCGTCCGTCGCGTCTAGCGTCATCACCTCGAAGCCGCGCTTGAGAGCCACGAAGTCGATGAGCCTGTTGGAGGTCGGAGCCGATCCTGGCGTGAACAGGTCGTCGCGCCACTCCTGCCAGCGGAACTCGCGGCAGACGAATCTCACCTTGCGCTGCCACTCCTTTCGCGCAGGCTTCCACCTCCACTGCTTTTCCCAGCGGGTGGTGATGTGCTTCATTCCCTTTGCCTCCGGCTTGGGGATGTTCTCGCCGACGCCGTGGTCCAGGAGGCTCTGCAGGTGCTCAAGCGTGAGCTTCTTGCCCAGCTCATCCTGAGCGTCCACGTCGAACATGTCCTCGGTCGGGTCCTCGACCTCATCCGAGATCCCCTCCCGGAGCGCGTCGGGCGGGTCGTCTATGTTGCCGACGTCCAGCTCGTGACCGCCGCAGCCCGCGCTCGTTTGCTCTCTGAGGCCTCCGCCTCAGGCGGCAGCCCGCGCCTCTCCGCCTGTGGCGGGGGCGCCCCCATGACCACATATCCTGGCGCTGGCTGCGCTGGCCGCTGGGGCTGCGGCTGTGGCTGTGGCTGTCCTGCCGCCACCGCTGGGCCTGGGGCTTGCGGTGGGGCTTGGAGCTGAGCGGGGTCCGCTCGGCCCTCGGGTGGCCCTGCCGGCGGTGGTGCCTGCTGCTGCTGCTGCTGATCCGCCCTCGGGATCTCTGTCGCCACGGGCGGGGCTGCCCGCGGTCGCCTCGACCTCTCGGGCGCCGCCCTCGTCGCCCACGGGAGACCCGTCGCCGACAGCAGGAGGTCCTTGTCGGTCTGTCTGCCCTCAGGGAGCCGTCGCACGGTCCGAGCTCGATCGGCCCCTTGCGGAGTCATCAGCAGATGCTCCTGGGACTCGTCAGATCTGCCAACCCAGATCCCACGGCTCCACTGCGCCTCCCCGCGGTGCAGCCGCCGTCCTCCACCGAGTCCTCGATGCTTCGGCCGAGGTATTCGATGCAGCACCGTCTCCCCGAAGGTGCAGATGTCGCCCTTGTAGGGCGTGCCCGTCGCTATCTCATGTGGAGTCTGCCCTCCAGCTCGTCGTGAATGCCGCTCGTGTAGCCACCCAGCATGACGCATCATCCAGGCCCAGATCGGCATGGCCGCAGTGATCTTGGTGCCGTAGCGCTTCTCGAGATCCAACCTGAGGACCCGCGTCTGGCCCTCAGCGGTCTTCACAGCCGCCTCCGCTGGGTTGGACTGGCTGATGTGTTTGGGTGTCAACTCTGGAATGACCCTGTCCGTCAGCTCTGCGACTACCCCGTCCAGGATCGCCTTCGTTGCAGGCTCAGAGTCGGTCCTGAGTCTGCACTGCCCGTCTCGAGCCGCTGCGCGAACTGCTCGACGCCTGCAATCGCGTACGGCGACGCCGACTTCGATGGGCATGGGATGACCTTCGCCACTCCAGCGTCCGAGCTGAACGCCACGAGCATCGTCGCATAGGTGTCCTCTACCCTCGTCAGGTCGCCGTCCTCATCAGCCGTCTTGCAGAACCCAAAGTCGAAGCTGATGAGCGGCGCCTTCCGCTCGGAGCCCTCGAGCGTGACCTGTGCGCGTGGAGCATCGGGCGCCTCGCCGCGGATGCGCTCCTCACGCCAGGGCGCGGTCGGCAGATGAGCGAGGCGATGCTGCCTCTCCTCTTCAGCACTCGGAGCCTTCGACACGGGTAGCTCCCTAGCATCGACTGGGTCGTGCTGGATCCCGAGCTGCTCCCAGACTGCCTGCTTGTGCGCCCTCTCGGCCTCCGACCGCCTGACCGCGGCCTCCGCCACCATGAGACTGTCCCAAGGCTCCGCCTTGGTACCGTAGATGGGCATGCACAGCTCCCTCAGCCTGGTCCTCATCGCGCCGACTGAGCTTTCCGCATGGAGCACAGGAGCCGTCGTCGCATCCTGCCGCTCTGCCGCACCGCGGCAGGTGGTGAGCCTCAGCCGCGGAGCCCGCCGCGACAATCGGGAGCCTGAGGCTGTTCCTCTCCAGCGTGAGCTGCGCGCTGCGGTGGCCCTTCGTCATGTAGAGCCCGTCCTCCAGGCTGAGGTTGAACCTGAAGCCCTGCCTGATCAGCTTCCCCATGCTCAGCAGATCATCGTTCACGTCGGCGGCGAGGAAGTCCGCTGTCGCCGCGATGCCCTCCTTCATGGTCATCTCTACTCCCCTCAGGCCTGCCGTCGGTAGTGGGCGCTGCTGCACGTCGAAGAGCCTCGGCGCGTCCACCGCAGCGCAGATGGGAGCCTCTGGGACAAATATGCGCCTGCAGAGATGGTCGTCGCTGCCGCTGTCGATCAGGATGGAGCCGCCAAACTTCGCCACCCGGCCATTTGGCTGTGCCGTGACCGCGAACACCCAGCCATCGGGCTTGCCGTCAAAGTAGCCCGACGCCGCCTTCACCGCGCCATCCGCTGGCTGCTGGGCTGATGACGAAGCTGCGTCGCCTTGAACAGCTCGTGTGTGACCTGGCCCCTTCTTCGAGTCATCGGCCTTCTTCTTCCTGCAGTCCGCCCGCTTGTGGCACCACTTGCCGCAGTAGTCGCGCTCGCCGTCGAAGTACTCCGTCTGGTTCCCGGCGTGCTTGCCGCCATCACGGCCCTTCGACTTGGTCTTTGAGTCCTTGCCCTTCTGGTATCTGCCAGACTTCCCGCCTGACTTGTCGGACTTGTACGTCTTGCCCTTGCCGTTGGCCTTGCCATTGGGCAGATGGGCACGGACTGCATCCACCTGCATCGGGACAACCCCACCCACGTCTGGGACGTGAGTGAAAGTCCTGCCCTGGTTGTAGTAGCCCCTGATGTGACTGCGAGCTGCGGCGAACGTGAGTTTCACCTCCTCTGGGGCCTGTCGGAGCACCTCTCGATATGGATCTGGCGCGTGCTCCAGCAGCACGCTCACCCTGACATTGTCAGAAACGGCTTCGCCGCTCTGATCCACATACTCGGCCACAATCGCCTCCCAGGCGGTGAGCGACTGAAAGAAGTCGATGCCCGCCTCGCGATCCTTGGCCCACTTGTCCTGCGGGTTCAGGATGAACCGCAGCATCGCCGTCCAGCGATTCCCTGAACGACTCTCGTTCTCATTCTTGAGCTGGCGCCACGCCTCGAGACCGTTCTTGCGCGAGAGCTTGACCACTCCCATCGCCTTACCCTCACAGTATGTGATCAGCAGGTGCCACAACCGCTGGCTGACCTGCCTCGCGCGCTCGTCGAGCTGGTCGTTCAGCAGCGGGTCCTGCCTCTGGCCCGCCGCAGTCATCAACTCCTCGAAGCCGAGCAGCGCGGTGTAGGCCTCGAACCTGAGACTCCAGTCTCCCCACTTCTCGTCCATGCCGTCGAGCCGCTGTAACCGCATGTCGGTCCGCACGTCGACCACCTCGATCGCCGCCATCGCTGCTGACCAGCAGCCCTCTCGGGCGGGGAGGTTGCGTGGCGCGCGAGCTCAGCTCCCGTGGCGTGGGAACCGAGCCCCGCTACCATGTAGCTGGATTGATGATGTGATTGGTTCCTCGCGAGCCAAGGAGGACCTACGAACATAGCTCCTGTCCTGTCATGCTAAACTGACTCCTGCACAGGGGGGTCACCGACCCCAGCAAATACAATGCACAACAGTTTCAGACGCCGCTCTGGGCGCCGGGCGTCGCCCAGCAGACGGGCCTGGTGGGCAACCCTGTGTAGCAGGCAGAAAACCCATTCTCGCTACCCTGTAGTAGCGCACCTATCGAACGGGTCGAACAGAGCAGGGAGGTTTAGTGAACGTCCAGGGCTGTTAGGTAAACGCCAATTTTGCGGGTCAGGGTGATTTTTCCGCCTATGACAGTGTGCATCAGCCTGGCCCCCCACTCAATGTGATCTCGCCAGCGTGGTCCAATATTGTCCCATCGGCCCGGACTTCCAGTCGCTATGCAGCCAAAACATGGCCACGAGGACGCAGGTCAAGAACATGAGCCCCGTCGGCGAAGGCCCAAAGCCACATGGAGATACGCCCGACGAAAAGCACCCCAAGGTGGAGAGCCCAAGGTAAAGTCACCCCTCCAATGCCAGCTGTAAGCCGATGCCCAGGGTCTCGCCCAGGATCCCGTTCCACAAAATACTCGGGTTCGTGGTTGACCGTCGTCGGAGTCCTCGTAGTGAGCCTCGGTGTCGCTGTCGTCTCGTCGGACGCGTCGGGGAAGACGAAAAAACAACGCTTCGTCGAGCTCTAACTGGTCGTACTGTGCGATCAACGCCAAATTATGTCATGACGATGAATCTACCATTCATGGTGGCAGTAATGGGAAGCGTTCGTCTTCGTCAGAATGGTAGTCAAAGTAACGAGATTAGCTCGTTGGACGTGTGGAAAACATCCTGCGTCTGCTAGGCTGCCAAAGGCATACGTGTTTGCACTCAGTGCGACACGCCGCTTCTCGTCTGTGGGTGACGCCAAGTGTGATGCTCGCCGTAGGTTAACCCAATGTTCCACAGGTGCGCCGAGGGATGGCAATAACATCCACGCTGCTTGCGCTGACTGCATCAGAACGTCGGCCTTTTCGAAAATTCCTCGCTGGCGGACGGCGGACGATCTCGCTTCCGGTCAACACATGGCCGATTCCAAAAACTCGGAATCCCGAACAATAACGTCTTTTGGGGGGCGCACCTTTTATTTCCGCCGGTTTCCGCCGGCCTCCAGCGGCAGAGGCGGCCTCGTTTTGTTTCCGCGGGCTTCCGCCGCCCTTCCGCCGAAGAGATGGCAACTCCTTCGATTCTCGGAGGCGAGGCCCTTTCTGGAGCGCCTCACATGGTCCACGCTCTTACGAGGCGCTTCTGCGGACGCCAACAAGGACCCGCACGAACGGGTCTGCACACAAGGCGTGAAGCCCTCGCCGATCAAAGAGCACACTGCACACCGCCGCAGGCTGAATCACGAGCGAAGCCGCCGAAGGCGATTTCGACCTGATGCTCAAAACATAAAGGTCGGGAACTTTTGCTTCGCGTGTCGCGGCGGCGGCTCCGGTGACACGCCATGCCGTGCGAGCGGGCAGTGTGTCGCTCAGCTCCGCGGGGCGGAAGGCTCGGAAACATTCGGCACGTGGACGCCTGGGGACCGCGAAGTGGATAGCGTGTCGCGCCGAGGCGTGGTGGGCCAGAACCAGCGCCGGGACACGCTTAGCCAAAGTTCCTGAGCGAACATCATCCCCTCCATGAGTGCCACCACGCCAAACTCTGGGGTCCTGGATCCCACGCCCGAATGAAAAGTCGGTCTCGATACTGGGCTCCTGGTTGGCTCCTGCTCTTGCTCCTCCTTCGATGCGCTCTTTCAGTGGCCAAACAGCGCGCTCGAGGTCACCCCTTGGCCCGCGCAGCGGCGCCTCAGGGAAGAAAATACGGTGAGGGCGTTGGATGAGGGACCCAGCGGAACCCAAATCGTATATTGGTCATGGATGTCACTGCCGCCATGACCAGATAAGCTATCCCCCAGGATCCGAAGCCTCCTGGGCACACTCCTTAGCCATCGACCCCAGGGCGGGAGGGCGGGACACGCGGTCCCCCCTGTGACCCATGCGGCTGCGGAGAGGGAGAGGAGAGGCATGCGTGGCAGCGTAGCAGACAGTGCAAGACGAGGCATGCGAGTGCGGAGGGAAGAAGCAACACGACTAAATACGCTTCACAGTCATGAATCCGCGATGACTCCTGCCCTTAAACCCTCCCTCGACGCGCTGTTTTTCGTTGGCCAGGCAGCGCGCTCGAGGTCACCCCTCGGCCCCAGTGCTGTGTAGTTGCGCTTCGTTGCGGTCGGCGCTAAGCACTCACACAGTGAAGGCAACGACCGGGCTTGCCCTTACTGTGGGATGCTGTGGCTCTGCCTCAACGCTGCGTGGGCGTTGAACGGTGCGATGCCTAATTCGCTTCCGACGCGCTCCGCCGTTAGCCGGCCGCCTGCTGGACCCAGCTCGCCGGCCAAAAAAATTGCTGGTGCACCTGCACCAATGTTCCGATTTCGGTGAGCGGCAAAGTCCGGCGCATTTGTCGCAAGCGCAATTGCACGGCACCGCCAATCTCATTTGGCAAAAGGATGCGGCTAAGAAGAACCACCATGAAATCCGCCGACCCTTCGGCGTGTGTGAGACGCTCCACACCTCCTGGGCCTCCCCTCACCATTTGGTGGCACAAGTTGCTCATCGCCTACATGGTGTACCTCTACCCCCCGGACGTCGACCTGGCTACGTCCTTCCGCACGCAGCACTTGAGGATGGTGATTTTGGCGCGCCGTCGACGGCAACACCACTTCGCTCTCCCTCCGGGACTTCGCCTCCGGCTCCTGTCCAAGGCGTACCTTTTCCTGTGCAAGCTCTTCAGCACCGCCTGCACCCCGCGCCCTCCGGCTGCCTGAGGCCCCGCCCGCCCGCGCCCTGTCTCCCCAATTAGTGCTTTGCGCGGCCCGCCTAGCTCTTAACCGGAAGAGGCTCGCTCTCGACCCGCAGACCAAAAAGTGTGTGAGACGCTGTCGTCGTCGATGTGAGAGCCCAAGAAAGGGTTACTCTCGACCCTGAAGGAAAAGGGGGGACGAAGGAGGACGAGAGGATGGAGGAGGAGGAGGAGGAGGAGGAGGAGGAGGAGGAGGAGGAGGAGGACCCTCGGGCTAGCACTGGGACCTGCAGCCACCTGCTGAACTTCACGATGAAGGCACCTCCCACCTGCTCGGCGATATTCTGCGCGTCCTCCGCCGCCAGAGGGGGGTCTCTCCTAGTTGCGCCCGAGGGTTATCGAGACCTCCCTTGGCGGGGCGGGGAAGGAGGGACGAGGGAGAGGGGTCACGGAGGGAGAGAGAGGAAGGAAGGAAGGAGGGGGTCTGGAACCGACCCTTAAGTCGCCGGATTATGGCGACTGCACTTGAATCATCTCAGGAAGCCCTTCATTGACCGTCGTTTAATAGAGGTCAATGAAGGGTTCTCCTGAATGGAGCTCCGATTACGGGAGCCTGCTATTGATCTGCCCTGAGAGAGGGTCAGAGGTGGATTCCTGTCATTGGTCGCTCCAATGGCCCACCATTGACCTGCCCAGAGGGAGTGTCAATAGTGAGCTCCCGTCATTGGGGGCTCCACTCATGGGAGCCCGCCAGTGACCTGCGACGGTCAATGGTGTTCCCGTGGCTGAGTCCTCAGCAGTAATCCTGGGGGATCATCGGGAATCCAAAAAGGAATTCTCAGGAATCCTTCGGAACCTAGGGGAATCCTGAGGATTCCTTCAGGGATCTCCTGCGCTCCTCAGGACTCTTCTGGGACCCTCAGAATGCCGAAGAATCCCTGAGGAGTCCAACAGGTTCGTCCAGATACATACGTATTTGGATCCCTGGGGAATTCCACGGGATCCAACATGGAATCCTCAGGAACCCTTCGGAATCTCAAATAATCCTAAGGGCCCCAAGGAATCGTTAAGGATCTACTGCGCTCATGGGGACTCCCCAAGAGCCACCAGGATTCCAAAGGATTCCTGGAGGATCCCAGAAAGGGTTCCTCAAAGGGTTCCTCAGTGTTCATTTGGGTTCCTGAGGGTTCCCATTACTCGAACTACTCGTTGACCCTCCAGGAATCCAGAAGGAATCCTTCGGAATCTTTGGCGGTCCACAAGGTTCGTTGTAAGGATCCTCATGGATCTTCTGCGTTCCTCATGACTCCTCTGGAGTCCTCCAGATTCCCAGCGATTCTTCTGGATTCCACTTATGGGAGCTCACCATTTACCCTCCCTACGGGAGGGTGAACGGCGGGCTCCCGTCAAACCAATGACGGAAGCCATTGACATGCCCGAGGGAGAGATTAATGTTAGGATCCCGCCTTTGGGGACTTCAAATACGGGAGCCGATCATCATTGACCTGCCCTGTGGGATGGTCGATGAGGGCCCCCTTATTCCCCAATCAGAGCTTGCCTCTGTAGGGGTCCTAGCGGATATAAAGCTGAGGTGAGGTGAGTGGCCGATTTCGGTGGCCGGGGCCGGGTGCCCGGGTGCCCGGGGGTTCCCGGGGGTGCCCGGGTGCCCAGGTGTGTGGCCGATTTCGGTGGCCGGGGCCGGGTGCCCGGGTGCCCGGGGGTGCCCGGGGGTGCCCGGGTGCCCAGGAGTGCCCGGGTGCCCGGGGTGCCCAGAAGTGCCCGGGGGTGCCTAGCCCAGTAGCCCTATATCCCTATAGCCCAATAGCCCAATCGCCATATATCCCTATAGCACTATAACCCTATAGCCCTATAGCCGTACCTATACGACCACCCTTCGGGTGATAAGGAGGTTCGGGGGGGGGGGGAACCAACGTCTCACTCGATCGGTCTCACTATCGATCTCAGTATCGATCTCACTATCTGTCTCGCTCGATCGATCTCACTCGATCGATCTCACAATCGATCTCACTCGATCTATCTCATTCGATCGATATCACAATTGATCTCACAATCGATCTCACAATCGATCACCCGATCTCACATTCGGTCTCAATATCGATCTCACTATCAATATCACAATCGCTCTCACAATCAACGTCGTCATCAGCATCATCATCAACATCAACATCAACATCATCACCAACATCGTCATCATCATGAGGGCACCGTCATCATCATAAACATCAACATCAACGTCAGCATCATCATCGGGACAACATCATCATCATCACCATCATCCTTTCATCATCAACATCATCATCATCACCATCATCATCGAGACACAGTCATCGTCATCATCATCAGCAGCATCATCATAATCATCATCATAATCGGAACACCATCATGATCACCATCGTTCTCATCATCAACCTTATCATCAACATCGTCATCACCCTCGGGACACCATCATCATCATGATCATCGCATCATCATCATCATCATCATCATCATCATCATCATCATCATCATCGGCATCATCATCATCAACAACATCATCATTGGGGCACCGTCATCATGAGCAACAACATCATCAACATCGTCATTATCATTATTATCATCATCGGGACACCATCAGCGTCACCATCATCACCATCACCATCATCATCATCATCAACATCATCATCGGGACACCATAATCATCATCAGCATCATCATCATCATCATCATCATCAACATCATCATCGCCGGGACACCATTTCCATCAACATCATCATCACCAACATCATCGGATCATCATCATCATCATCATCATCATCGGGACACCATCATCGTCATCATCATCAACATAATCATCATGAGCATCATCATCCTCATCATCGGGACACTATCATCATCATCGACACCATCATCAACATGATCATCATCTTCATCGGGACACCAGCATCATCATCTCATCATCATCATCATCATCATCATCATCATCATCATCATCATCATCATCATCATCATCATCATCATCATCATCATCATCTCATCATCATCATCCTCGCGGGACACCGCGGGACACCGGCGGGACACCGCGGGACACCGCGGGACACCGCGGGACACCGCGGGACACCGGCGGGACACCGCGGGGCCCCGCGCCCCGGATGAGAAACATTTGGTCCGGCCGCGCCTCAGCCACAGGAGGACACCGCGGGACACCGGCGGGACACCGCGGGGCCCCGCGCCCCGGAAGAGAAACATTTGGTCCGGCCGCGCCTCAGCCACAGGAGACTTTTTCTCGCCCGCCCACGCAGCTTCGCCTCGCACGCACGGCACGCACGAACACGAAACCGAAACCGATTTCCCGGTGGGGGGCTCGCCGTTCCACTTCGATCTCACCCCCTCACCTCCGATAGCCTTATAGCCCAATAGCCCAATAGCCCAATAGCCCCATAGCCCCCTAGCCCCATAGCCCTATAGCCCTGTAGCCCTATAGCCCTATAGCCCTATAGCACTATAGCCCTATGGTCCTAAAGCCCTATAGGCGTATATAGTCCTATAGCCCTATAGCCCTATAGCCCGAATCCCACCAGCCCTCTGGGCGTCGGTGGTTTAGGGCGTTTCCTCTTCCACCCCTCCCTCTTCCCCTTCGGGGAGGGGTTTACCCCTCCCCCTACCCCCTCCCCACTGACCTGGACAGGAGGGGCGGGGAGCGGTCAGAGCGTCCAAGATGGCCCAGGACGGCTCCAAGAGGGCCTCAGAGAGCCCAAGATCGCCTCCAAGATGGCTCAAGATAGCGCAAGATGCCTGAAGATGGTTCAGAAGACGCTCCAACACGTTCCAAGACCGCTCCAAGATGGTTCCAAGTGCCCACAAGAGCATCATTAGAGTGCCCTCAAAAGGCCGAAATGCTTCAAAACCCTAGGGAAAATCAATGTTTTTGGTGTTCTCACTTTTTCGCTTCCGAAGCCCATCCGAGGCCTCAAGATGGCGCCAAGATGTCCCAACTGGGCCCCAACAGGGGCCCAAGAGAGCCTCAAGACTGCCTCAACAGCGTCCAAGAGCGCTCCAAGAGCGATCCAAGAGGGGTCCAGGAAGCGATTTTAGACAGTCTGGAGGGCCAACGCTAATTAAAGCTCTGCTCTTCTTTGATAGATTTGCTCCCAGATGCCCCCCCAGAGCGCCCCGATGGCGTCTAAAAGGACCCCAGACGCCCAAAAACTGCTTCAAAATAAATTCAATCGAGCGCTCGCGCGGGACGCGAAGCCCAGAATACTGCGAAAACACATGTAAGAGCAACCGAAACGATCAAATGCTTCTCACAGCCCACCAAACCGTTCGAAGATACCTCCAAGACGCCACCAGGGAGGAGGAAGAGGCGGAGGAAGAGGAGGAGGAGGAGGAAGAGGAGGAGGAGAGGGAGGAGGAGAGGAGGAGGAGGAAGAAGGCGGAGGAGAAGGAGGAAGAGGGGGAGAAGAACAGCTGCCGATCATCGGCGCTCTTCGTTCGAGTGCCTGGTGTAGGATGGGCTGGTGGGGATACGCGAAGCGTCAAGAATAGCCTTATAGCCCTTAGCCCTATAGCCCTATAGCCCTGTAGCCCTATAGCCCCATAGCCCTAAAGGCTTCTGGCCCTATATCCCTATGGCCACATCGCCCTATAGCCCTATGGCCCCATAGCCCTAAAGCCCTAAAGCCCCATAGCCCCCCCCAAGTTCTGATTGGGGTTTTTCTCTGGTATCATTTGGTTCAGTTGCAGCTACCCTTATGCGGCGCCAAGCCCGGGGGGGAGAGGCGGGAGGCAGGGAGGGAGGGGGGAGGGGAAGGGGGAAGGGGGGGAGGTAGGGAGGGAGGAGGAAGAGGTGGAGGGAGGGGGAGGAATGGGGGCTCCGTGGGGCGTCCCAAGCTCCTCGAAGGTGCCCTTGAAGGGGGCGCTGTACAGGAACTTGCGCCCGCCGGGCTTCTTCGCCTTAGAGACAACGCCCACCTCCAACTCATCCCCCTGTCCTGCTCCTCCCCTCCTCCTCCTCCTCCTCCTCCTCCTCCTCCTCCTCCTCCTCCTCCTCCTCCTCCTCCTGCTCCTCTTCCTCCTCTTCCTCCGCCTCGCGATCTCGTTCTGGTCTCTCCGCCCTCCTCCTCCTCATCGCTCCGCGCCCGGTCGCCGTCTTCTGCATGCGGTACGTCCCAGCCCCTGGCAGGATGAGGGACAAGGAGGGGGGATCTCGGCTCACCATGTCGGTGGACAATTCTGGCCCTCCCTGGGAAAGAACGGGCAAACGAGAACTGATGCCCGCTGACCCCTGCCGTCCGCGGCGCGAGAGAAAGAGCCGAACGACTCCTCGAGGGATGCGTGCACGGGAAGTGCAGAGACGAACGCCTCATCACATGGGATAGCGCTGAGACGAACGGCTCCAGAATGGAAGTTTTCCAGAAGCCCAGGCTGTCCGCCCCCTGGCATCCGCCGACATCATCTGTTCCATCTGCGGCCCCAGAAACCCCGACTGCTTCCGCTGGCGTAGCTGGCGTAGCTTCTCGTCGCGGATCAGGTTTTGATGGTCCTGGGGCCCGATGGCGGCCCCCGATGGCCGAAAGCGAAGAAAAACCCGCCGATTAAAAAAAACAGCTCGCCGGAGATCTGGGCCACACTCGGAAGCCGGCATCGCGACCCCTGATCATCCGCGACGAGAAACGTTCGGTAGCAGATGTCGGTTCGAAGACGTCGACGGCTCGCTCATTACCAACATTTGCGGCCAGAGTCCGAGTTTCGGTCGCGACTTCCGTCCAACAATGCTTTTTTCTGGAGACATGAAAACTCAACAACTGGCATCAAACAACAAACAACAAACCACAAGCATCATCCGCGCCGTGGAACACCATTTCAGCCACGCGCACAGGGACGGTGTAAGACCGTTCGGCCCCTCACCCTGACTAGCAAAATTATGATAAGGAGGAGGAGGAGGAGGAGGAGACGGATGAGGAGGAAGGGGAGGAGGAGGATTACGATTTGAGAAGAAAGCGGAAGAAAACATCGAACTCCGACATCGCCCGAAAACGGCCCAAAACCATCCCTCGCGACTTTTCCGCGACGAGACGAAGTGAAACAAGGAGGAGGAGAAACATGGGGAAGAGCTGAATTGCCGATCACTGGACTTCACGCGTTCGCAGTTTGCCCCCCCTTGTCCGGCCTATCTCGCTCCACGCGGCCTGCTCCCCAGTCTTCACAGGGTGGAACACAGGGTCGGTGCCGCGCGAAATCATCAGCCCTGCCGCGGCCGCGGCTCGAGGAGGACGAGGAGTAAAGGGATCCCCGCGTCCTCTCGTCACGAAAGAATCACGACGAGAGGTTCTTGGCCGTTATCGGCCTCCGGGGAAGCTCTCTGGGCCTTGGGACCGTCCAAAATCGGCCCGGGATGAAAAACCGGTCCCAGGGAAGGGCCCCAGACCTCTGGGCTCTGGGGGTCGACGTTATGACTAAAAATCCCTCTTCCTTTCTTGCCTCTTCTTGCTGCCATTGTTCCTCCAGCCTCCTCCTCCTCCTCCTCCTCCTCCTTCCCCTCCACCTCTTTCTCGTCACCATCCTATTCCTCTCCCCCGCCCCGCACGGCTCCTCGTGTCCCTCCCCCTCTTCGTCGTGTGAAGGAGGGGAGGCGCGTGATGAGGAGCAAGAGCATGAGCACGCGCATAGGCATGAGGAGGGGGAAGAGAAAGAGAAACGATTTCCTCCTCCTCCTCCTGCTGCTGCTGCTGCTCCAACTCTCCCGACCTGCCCGCTCCCACGCGCGGGAAGGCCTGTGCTGTACGACTCGTCCTCGGTCACCTTGAGTCCTGTCATCAGGGACCCGCTCGGATCTGCGAGGCTCATCTCCTTCTGGAGCTTGTAGACGTCCACCTGGACATGCTCGCCCTCGCAATGGTACCTGGCAGCGTCCGTACTGTAGAAGGGTCTGGGGGCTGGCCGCTGGTAGTCAATAGATTCGGGAAGGCCCTGTCCGAAATCGCCCTGGCTCTCGAGGACTCCCATCAGACTCATGACTCGTGACTTGCCGAAGCGTGTCCATGCGGCGATTCGCTGCACTGTCATACGGGGACATCTTGAATGAGTCTAAAAGTGGCCGGGCAATAATCTTTCCCTTGTGGATATACAAAGTGGGAGATGTTATCTCACTTCTGTTTACACACTGTTCATGGGACCAGAGATAACCCTGGATAGCTCCCACACCCGGCCAGGCCGACAGAGGTCGTGCTAGGAGTCTACGGGGAAAGAGGGGTCCGCTCAGCGCTGCCGCAATCGCTCGTGCCCAACATGAACCACTTTCGTGAGGAAAGAACAGCCGCAACGAACGCTGATGACGGAGCGGAGGGGCTGTTCTGGCCACGGCGGGCCTCGGCCATGAAGAGGCCCCCTAACGCAGATCGAGGGAGCGGGCCCGAGAGCCAGCCTCTCCGGAGCCCAACGTGGGCCCTACACTCCAACCCGCTGACTGCGCTATTCGAAGGACACCAGGCAGTCGGACAAAAAACGAGGAAGCGACGAGCTGACGGGCTCGCCACGGCGGCGCGTCATTGATACTCTCCTCTCCAAAACTCCACCGCCTCGCGCCCCAACGGCCCCCCGTGATGTTGTACTTTGTGTTTCCGGTAACGGTCGTTACCCAGGGAGAGGGGTGGTAACGGTAAGGTTTGTGCGAAGCGGGCCACGTCGGGACGGGGGTGCGCTGCGATCGCCAAAATATGCGGGCGGGCACCACCAAATGGGGGGTCCAACGCCCCCCCCTCCCACGTGCGCTCGTTACCGTCACCCCTCCTCATTGTCCTCCCCCCCGTGTCGTTAGGCTGGAGGTATCTTTGAAGAGTGTTTGGAGTCGCCTGGGAGGCCTGTCGGAGGTCTTTTGACATTCAGTTTAAATCTCTATGGGGGCATATTAGAGCTTCTGGGGGTGTCTTGGGGGCCCCTCGGGCGCTCTTGGGGGCTTCTGGGAAGCCTCTTGAACCCTGCTGGCGGTTTCGGTGGCCATCTTTTCGGGACGGGTTGGACATGTCAGTTCGGGTTCCTGCTCTTGGGCCACTCTTGGGGCCCTCCTGGAACGCTCTTGGCCCGCCTTGGGAGTCCTCTGGGCCGCCTTGGGGCCGTATCGCGGACCTCTTGGGCCGCCTTTTGAGGATTGGGAGGGGGGCCTCTTGAGCTGTCTTGCCACGTAGAAACTCGAAACAGCGATAACGCGACAATCGTGTGAAACGCCGTTGGGATGTTATTGATGTCTGCCTCCTGGGGGTCCTCTTGGAGCTGCCGTGGGGCGTATTGGGGGGACCTTCGGGCGCATGTGGTCATCCTGCACCGTCTTGGCAATCTATAGGCGCTCTCCTGGGCAAGTTTGTAATCCGCCGACCCTGTGTCGGCGCGTGCGAGGGGGAATTTGTTGCCCCTAAATCGTCCTCAGACACGATGTTCATTCCCAAGAGTCTTCCTGGGACCCTGTTTGGCGACCCGAATTCGTCAGCTCGATGCGCATCGAGGCAGGCCGCAGTCGAAGTCGTCATTAAATCGAAGGGCAGCCCCTTCCCTTCGATCCCTGCCCCACCTGGGATGGGGGAGCCTGAGGGGGGCCTGGACGCATGACGGACCAATTGCAACCGACTGGTACCAACTCAATCCGCCCGTGCCACTCCTCAACTGGCCGAAAAACCGACTGGTACCAAATACAACCAGCCACAATGCGATTATGATGGGGGCGTTCTTAGACGGTTCAAACATATAATGCAGCTCTTACGTGTACACACCAACAGACAACATCTGTGCCAGAGTTGGAAGTGGTGTTCGCGTGTTTTCCTACGTATGGGACTTGGAGGTGTGCCGTTTTGGACACGAGCAGCAAGCGCCCATCTTACTAGAGCTGCACGGCTATCGTATGAGAGCTGTACAGCATTCGTGCGGCAGCTGTGTAAGGCTTCGCATTGCCTGGTTTTCGTGTGAACATTGTAGAACCTCATGTGGGAGCTGTGAACATTCCATGAGCAAGCAAGGGGAGATTCATAAAAGAAATGTGGAAACGCATTATGTAAATATACAAGCCCACTTGATCAATACGAGATTTAGTTGCCATCTGGAACAACAGGCGTCATGTGCGTAGGTTGCAAGAGAGAGTTGCCACATGTCATTTGAAGGCGCGAGGGCTTGAGTAATATGGCGTGAGATCGGTGGAACCTGCACATGGTTTCATGTTGCTCTCAAATTGGACTTGCATCACCTCCAATGGAAATGCCAATCTCTCATGTGAAGAATTGTCTCGGGTTGTCGTGCTAAGAACCCCGCACAACCGTCGTTCGGGAGTTAGCCGGTTTCCCACAATAAGTGTAGACCACACGCATTAGAAGCCCATCGTTTTCAAGCGAGACACGTGACGCTTGTCACAAACATCTGATTCGGCGTCATTCGAGAAAATTGGCTGGACACAAGAATTGTGTAGCGTCCACGGTGGATGTGTTGGCCCTTCTTTTGAACAGATGTATAACTGTGATGTGACAAATATGTGGGTGCCACACGAACTCTGTATACCTGCCACGCAAGAGCGTTATACAGTCCACACGGGGCATAGACGTCAAATGATCGTTGCACGGGTGCCACTTGAGAACCGTAACTGTTTCAACCAGGAAATGTAATTCGCTCAAGTGGGAACTGTATTGCAATATGCGTGTAAGAAGTTGCCGAGCGGCCACATGCGGCTTGCATGGTTCCCGCGCGAGGGGCTGTGTAGGTTTCGTAAGGGACGTGTATAGTTATATGTTAACCAGCGTGGACCCCAAACAGTGTGCTAGCGGTATGGGTTGTACAATCGACGTGGTGCAATCGAAGTAGCGGTGCGAACTATGTCGTGCAACCTGCGTGCTGCAATCTCTACGCACTGCAGTATGTGCGCGGTGAAAAATATGTGGCGCGACCTACGTTGCGCAATCTATGTGATGCAATCTGCGTTGTGCAATCTATGTGGTCCAGTTGATGCATGGTCACCAGTGAATTGTATCCCACGGTTCCCGCAATTATCCCACCCACCCGGCCGCTACGTGTGTTGCGAAACCCATGCGGCGGCGATTGCGATGACTGCTTGGCACTGGCTGGCGCATCGCTGCGGCCGCTCTGGCGCGCGCAGGTTCGCGCGCAGAGCGGCCAGCTAGTCTGGCGTGACCGACGAGGTCGCGGTGGGGCAGACCGCTGGTGAATTCATAGCGCGTCCCGCAGGCGGCGCTGATGCGCAGGCAGTCCAGTGCGAGTCGATGCGGTATCATGGCGACGTCGGCAACGGCAGACACGATGATGGTAGTAGCGATGCTGGCGGCGATGATGACGACGACGACGGCAAAGCCAACGACGGCGCCGACGCTGATCGCGCCAGCGACGAAGATGGTGTCGACGCGTCGACGTTAAAGGTTTCGGACAGATCTCGTCATGTGCACGCGACCGACGGGCGCGAGTGTCCGGCATGTTATTCTTTGACAGGGACTGCGTCCGCCCACCCCCCCTCACCAGCAAGCGCGCGAGGGCGTTCGAATGATTTCAGCACACGCGCGCGAGAGGCCCTTTTGGTCGCATTTTATGAAAATCTTGACGGACATACTGCATTCGCAAGAATTCGCACGCGCAGACTTTTTGAAAACGCATGGGGCACAGCCACTGGTTGCTTACATGTGTTCGGGGACTTCGATCTTGAAATGCATACGTCACCTCAAATGTTTGAAACATTTCGGCATGCGCGCGCGGCGCCGCGCGCGTGTCCACTGTGTCTCATGTGTTGTAAAGGGGGTTATTGAGACCGGATGCTTGTTTCTAGGCGAGCGCGCGCGCTTTGTAATATTTGATATAGGGGGGGGTCGATACGAGGTCTGTCAGGGATGGTATGGATTCGTATTAAAAATGAACGATGGGGCATATTCAGATGCAAACTGCGCTATCCCAGGGGGAGGCGATTTAAAGACCAGGGGGTGCACCCTGATTTCTTTAAAAAGGAGAACCGATGCGGTGCGACCAATGTGATTCGTTCTATGTGGTGCGATCTGTGTTGTGCAATATTTGTTGTGAAATCTATGTCGTGCGACCTGTGTCGTGCAATCTATGTCGCGTAGCCTATGTCGCGCGATCTATGTTGTGCCGCCCGAGTCCAAACGACGGGCGCCGACGGCAAGGCCGTCAGACCAGCCCGCAGGCCCCGACGACGGGCGGCGACGAGGCCCAAGCCCAGGCGACGGGCGGCAACAGGGCGGCGACGGCGAGAACGTAGCCGCCATGCCGAACCGCAGGCCCAGAAGACGGGCGGCGACGAGGCGGCGACGGCGAGAACATAGCCGCCAGACCGACCCGCAGGCCCAGACGACGGGCGGCGACGAGGCGGCGGACGGGCGGCGACGCGGAGAGCATAGTCGCCACATCGACCCGCAGGCCCAGTTCCTCAGACAAACAAGTGAGAAGTCTGAATGCAAACGCTGTTTTGGGGAATGCCAGTGGATGGATAGCTCTACGGGTCGAACGAAGGATACTCATCCTACTCCCCCACCCGTCTCTTCAAACGAGTAGGAAGCGAGGCGACTAGAAGAACGCTCTCCCACTCCCACCCAGAGCTCCAAACGTGTAGGAGAGTTGGCGAATGCAACAACGCCCTCCTACGCTCCCACCTTCGGTTCCAAACGGGGTGGAGAGTAGGCGAGTAGGAGAGCGTGTCTTACACTCTCTTGGCAACGGCGGCAGGCTCGGGCGCCACATTTCGAAGATGAGCCCAGTCCATCGCCGTCCCTCGCACCCAATGCACCCTCAATCTAGTTGGACGATGATGCTAGCCAGTCTCACGTGAAGCCATGCCAATGACCCCCGAAACTTCCATCCCGCACCAGGGAAAACAAAGCGAACTACAACCGTGCTAAACAAAACTCGGCTGCAATTCGCTTCCACGATTTGTGCACACGTACACATGCACCTACACAGGCGACTCGGAGGGCGCTCTACTGCTCGCCTGCCCGTGGTCTGGAAAGGCGAGCACTTCCCGTGTCGTTGTGCCTGCTCGCCGCCTCCCAGGGTCGCCGCCGAAGCGACAGCAGTAATCTGCCTCCGCCACGCGACAGCCCTGGAAGCCGCCGCACGGGGGGAGGGCGAAGAAACGTGCACCTTTCGTGTCCCGATGTGGCTCCAGAGAGCCCCTTTGGGGCCTCCAAGGTGCCATACAGAGGACCCTAGACAGCGGGCTTCCATAAAAGGAGCCCTAAACGGGCCCCTTTAGGGCCCCCTTTACGGCACATGTCTTGACTCTTGACTCCCCCCCATTGATCGCCTCCCGATAACGCAATGCCCGAGCGCCTTCCCGAGCGCGCGCCGCATGCCTTCTGGAAGCCAGCACCGACTTGGGAAAACGGATCGGACCAGGACATCCCTGACTACGGACCTGCCGTACTTTGGGCTTAAAGCCGTGTCTGAAAGGCACCCCATTCGGTGCGAACAAATAGGGCGGAAATTTCCGCCTTAGGAGAAAAGGAGGAATATCCTTTCCGCAAAAGCACGGCGGAAACAGCGATGGCAACATAGGGCTGGAATCTACATCAAAGGAAGTCGAAAAATGGGGTGGACATTTCCGCCCTACTGTCGACATCGTCCAACGGATCCAGAGTCAGGGCTCCCGAGCCCGCGCCACAGGTCCTCTGGAAGCCGGCACCGAACCGGGAAAGCGGGTCGGCTCGGGACGTGCGTCGCATCGAGCCGCGTCGGCACGGAGCCAGCATCGGGATCGGGCCGGCCGCGCCAGGATGCTCTGGAGGCGCCATCGGGCCGCATCGGATCGCCCCCGCAATTGCCCGCTCTCGGCCCAGCAAACTGGGGCAGGGCTGAACCTAAACGGTGTTCTTCGTTTTCGTCGTGGTTTCGTTTTCCCTCGTTTTGTCTTCAATCCGCAATTACCGCAAAACGAAGCCGGACCGAAAACGGCCCACGAAAACACCAACACACCGTTTAGGTCCAGCCCTGATCTGGGGCAACGGGCCACCTCTCAGCACGGACTCGGGGATGAGCACGCAGCGTGAACGAAAAACTAGCTGCCTGCGTAGGGGCACCAGCGCCGTCCAGCCCGCACCCGACCGGCTTCGCCGAGCGGTGCCCGTGTCCTGGCCTCTCTGCGTGCGACAACGAGACGGCAGGAGAGGAGAGGCACCCCCGCCCCCACCACCACCACCCCTCGGCCAGTCCGACGATTTGCTCCCATGCGGGCGGCGCACGGAGCAGAAGGGCCGCGTGCCAGACCGCGACGCCGTCACCTGGCAGCTCTTTTCGTCGCGCGATGTGTGCGTCCCTGGCAGGCGCACCGCGCCCCGACACGGCCAAGCCGTCTCCTGTCGCGGGCGCCCCCGCAGTGCAAAGCCGCTCTGCCGGCGCCAAGAAGGGCGACGCGCGGCAACTGAAAGAAATCGGCGGCACCGAGGCGAGCAATGCCCCTGGCCACGGTGACCTAACCATTGTTATGCGAACTACATGCCACACGATCAGAGAGATGTAAGACTCAAGTTTGGAGGACTCGAGCTGATCTGAATGGGCCGCTAAAAAAACGGCGAGACCCGGTCCGAAGTTTGACGCGAGCTCCCACTGCAGACATCCCACGAAAACTGGACCGTCAAATCCAGGACGGGCTCGTCAAACAGCGTCGGCAAATTGCTGCCCGAGTGTTGCCACCACCACCGCCGCTGCTGCTGCGCTGTTGCAGCTGCGACTTTTCGTGCCCGATGGCGACGCGGCCGTCCTGATAGAAGCCCAAGCTCATCAACTACTGGATTTCGCGCTCCCACTTCGCAATTGCCTTGTCGAGCTCCATCTCGTCGCAATCGGCCCTCTTCCGGAGGATGGTGAGGACGTTGTCGTTGTCATAAACCGCGTAGTTCTCCTCGCGAGACATATTGACCCACTGCTCCGGTATCTGCTGAGCGGGGAGCTCGACGCGATCCGCGAATTGCATCATGATGGTATCAACCACCTGCGTCACACCAGACGCTGGTAACCTCCAAGCGATCGACCGGGGGACGTAGTGGTGCACAGCGAAAACCGTATTGGAGATGTGGCTGGGGGCTGTCGCTTTCAGCGCCTTCAACAAGCACGCGACGCGGAAGTGCCCATTGACGAACACCATGTCGAACCAGAACGGCGGGTTGAAGTCGCTCCACGAGCCGTTGTACGACGAATACGCTGGCCACATGGACGACTTGCGTGAGTCCGTCGGGGTGCCCCACAGATCGACAGGGCCGACGTCCGCGTGCCTCAGCACCAGGCGCCCGCTGTCCGCCTCTGGAGCGACGTCGGCACGGGCCAGCAAATTCCTCACGACCTTCTCGTCCGAATCCGTGGACATTATACTCCTGATGTTCCTGAACCGCGTGGCAGCCAGCACCGTCGAGCTGCCAGCGCCAAACTCGCGATAGTTCGTCGCCTGGGACATGAGAGAATACAACCGCGCCCTGTCTGCAGAGGAAGAAAAAAAACTAAACATGAACTTTCAGAGCTCCGCGCAGATTCCGTGGATCGGCGCTGGACTCCCTTCCCTGGCGCGCGGAGCGTGCCAGGGGCGGCGTCAGACGCACCGCCAGGAGGGCCCAGCGCCGATCCGAGAAATCTGCGCGGACCTCCGAACATTTATATTTATGCAGCTGTTTCTTCTTCGAGTCTAGGGTCCCCATCCACGGAATCATCGGAGCACCTGGCAGGTCTGGCACTGCAGCATTCTGTAGCATTGCGGTGTCAACACCACACCTGGTCACCACGCCCCCCCCGTGGCACGACGCGACCACGGCAGCCAAGAGTGAGAAGCCCATGGCGCCCACCATGGCTCAACAATCGCGAGATACACGAAGTGCGGCAACCCAAAAGGATGGCATGTGAGCTCGTCGACGCGAGCCTAAGCAAACATGGCAGCGGAGAAACTCGTGTGCCTCTACGCAGCGAGCCGACCAATCGAATCGTCTCGGACCATTGAAGGCATGGCGTGCTAACCGAACGTCTACTTGGAGCCAAGGGGAGGCGTGATGGCATTCGAATATCGGGCGGATAGGCCGAATGACATGTAGGTTTGTTCCTGAAAGCCCTGTCTGCACAAAATTAAACATTTTTGTTCCAAGAGAGCACAAGGTGGAATGCCAGATCCAGAACCGGTCGGGCGGCGTGGCCTCCCGAGGCCTCCCGTTGCCTAGGTGGACTGCCGGACAAGGAATCGGTCGGACAACGTGGCCTCCCGTGGCCCCCCGTGGCCTCGCATTGCCGTCCTTATCCCTGTCCGTGTTCCTATCCCCCTGCCTTTATCCCGATCCCTCTTTCTCTATCCCTATCCCTATCCTTTCGGTGCCCCTATCCGTTTCCCCATCCACATCATCCCCTCCCCATGCCTATCCGTATCCCCCCTGTTTATCCCGATCCCTATATCTTGATCCCTATCCCTACCCAATCCCCATCCCTATCCTTGTCTCGATCTTGATGTCTGCGTGCATGTCTATATATATATATATATACACACACACACACTAAGCGGCGCGTGCTACGCGCGCGCTTAGGTTATAGTCGCAGATGAACCATGGGTGCCGCTGTAAACCCGGCTGTGGCCACAACGACGACTTCCAGCGTTCTCGGGCCCATGCCACCGACGCAAAGAACCGCGTAGTAAAACCGTGGGGCGCCACGTTCCCGCGCATCTCACAATCTCGCTGCCGCCTTTGCTTGGTTTATCGAACTGCGTTTTTTCTCCACTTTCACTTCAGCTCTGCCCCGTCGTGACACTCAATGATTTTGCATATCTCTCCGGTCTCCCGATGCCCGATCACGCAGACATCCGCCGGCTCCTGATGTTGGGGTTGGCCCGGGACCTCGTTGCGCGCGCGTGGGCATCTCCCGGTCATCAGCGCCCTTCTCTGTAATCAGTTGTTGCCGGGCCCGTCCATGGGAGTGGGGGGGCTTCTTTTGGCTGGACGCCAAACCTCATGCCAGCGATAATCGCACCCGTGGGAGCACAAGGTTCGGGCTCACGAGGCATGCTCAATGATTTGCTTGGCACGTCCCATGTATGGTGCTGCTTGGAGCTCTGACGGGGCCTCAGGCGGCACCTTCTTGGCGTTCTGGCGAGGCCTTTTCAAGAGGTGAGGCAGGGGCACGACACCTGAGACATTGAATAGTATAGCTACACCCCGCTCGCTCGGGCGGGTCCGCCCTGCAAGGGTGGGAGGAGCAAGAATCGCGTGGAAGAATCTGGTGTAGGGATGCCCTGCTCTCTCTGGCGGGGTTTCCCTGGCGCCCTGGCGGGGGCTTGCCCAGGAGGGGAGGGGGGAGCACGAAACCAGAGGAAAATTATGCGCGTGCGCTCTGACGGGGCTACCTCGGGTGGGGTGGGAGGAGCAAAACAGAACAGGGATTGTATATGGTATAGCAACACCCCTCTCGCTCTGCCAGGGCCGCCCTGGAGGGGTGGAAGGGGCAAAGCAACTTGTGAAATGGAGCGTCGGAAGGTCGGAAACGCGAGAAACCGAAAAACATTGGAAAATGCAAGCGGCAATCAATGATTAGGGCCTTTTCGGGCTCTCTCGGAATGCTTCTCGGAGCTCTCTTGAGGCCTCTTGGAGGCCTCTTGGGCTGCGTATTTGCCATGTTGGGCCCATGTGAGGCCACGTTGGAGCCATCTGGACCGTCTTGAAGCGCCTTGGCGCCTCCCACTCACGCTCTTTGGCTCAGCTTGGGCCTGTCCCGGGGCTCTCTTGGGCCGTTTGGGGCTCCTCCCAGGCAATCTTCAAAATCCATGGTACCGTCTCGGGGCTCTTTGGGGGGCCTCTTCGGCGGTCTTGGGGCGGTCTTGGGGGCGTCGTCGGCCGCCTTGGAGCGTCAGAAAGCCGAAAACGCGAGAACCCGAAAAACATGTTAAAAACCAATAGAAATCAATGATTTGGGCCTCGTCGGGCTCTCTCGGGATGCTTCGCGGAGCTCTCTTGAGGCCTCTTGGAGGCCTCTTGGAGGCCTCTGGGGCTGTGTATTTGCGGTCTCGAACCCATCTTGGGCCACGTTGGGGCTATCTGTGCTGTCTTGGAGGGGCTTGTCGAAGTCCCCGGGGGCTTCTGGGAGCTCTCTGGGGCAGTCTGGGAGCTCCAGGGCCGCTCCGGGGTGCTCTGGGAGCGGTCTAGCAAACCCCGGTCCTCCCATGCCCCCCCCGTGCCCCGGGCGCCCGGGCCTCGTGCACGGGAATGTGTATATATATATATATATATATATATATATATATATGTATATATATATATACACAAGATTTGAAGGCTCGCTGCGCTTCGCCTTGTAATCTTGATCCTTGCACCTACGATGTTTCTGGGCGCGGGCGAGAACACATGTTTTCAATGAGGTGTGTGGGAATTATGCGAGCGGAGGCGAGGCGAGGCGAGTGCGCGGTAGCGCCCGGGGCGGGGCTCAGGGCGCAGCGTTGGTGGACGCTTGAGTGGAGGTGAAGGTGGAAAGTCGGATGCCGGACGCTAGAGGTTATATATAAATATATATATATATATATATATATATATATATATATATATATGTGTGTGTATGTGTGTACGTGTGTGTATGTGTATGTATATACGCACGCCTTTGTGCATGTATATATATATATATATATACATGTATATGCATCTATGTATATATTCATCCTCCCTAGTCCTAGATCTCTAGCCGTATATCCCTGTCCATATCCCTGTGCCCCTGCCTCTGTCCCTATTCATATTCGTACCCCTTTTGTCCCTATCTCTTCCCTATTGTATTATGTACTCCTGTCCCTATCCCTATCCCCATCTCCATCCCCATACCTATCTGCGTAGCTATTTCGGCTGACGTAAATCATTGATCAAGGCAGCTGGCCAGATCAGCCCGTTATGGGGCACGCGGCGAACAGCCATTACCGAGGCTCGCGGGTGTCCCACATGTTGCAACTGCTTCTCACCGGTGGCAAGCCATGTCGAAGAGAACACACTGAGCACCCACCGCCCAGGCAGGGCGTAGCTGGCAGAAGCAAGCAGCTTTGATGTGTCCAGTTTGCCCCCAAGGAGTGGATATGGGCAGCGCAGTAAACCCACTTGCAAATGCGGGACCCCATGGGCATCGCATTCTGGCTCCAGAGCGTTCTCAGCCACTCGACCGACAATCAGATCGCGTTGACACGTTCAGGTTGCTGAGGAGGTCGATCTTACGGAGCGGGATAGAAGCAAGGCCCACGCACGCCCCAAGATCGCCGCAAGACGACCCAAATGTCTTCGGAAGGTGCAGAGGACGCACGACAGCGTGGGCGCGATAAGAGGATAGGGCGATCTTCTGGGACGGGCTTAGGGCGGGGGGGGGTGATCTGGGCTGGGGATGGAGTGCCAATGAATCCCAAACATATCCCTATCGTTGTCCCTATCCCCCTGCCTCGATCCCTGTTCCGATCCCTACCCAACCTGTCCTTAATCCTATCGTATACCCTTTATCCATCTTATACCCTTGTCCCTATCCATATCCCCATCCCCATCCGCTTAGCCATTTTGGCTCAAATGAACCATTTAGCAAGGCAGCTGGCCAGATCAGTCTGTTCTGGAACACGCAGCGAGCAGCCAATACAGCGGCTCGCGCGTGTCCTCACATATTGCGATTGCTTGTCTCCAGTTCCATTGGCACGCCATACCGAAGAGAACACCATGGGTAGCCACCGCCCAGACAGGGCGGAGCTGACAGAAGCAAGCATACTTGGTGTGTCCAGTTTGCCCCCAATGAGTGGATATGGGCAGTCAGAGCGCGGCACACGCCCACTTGCCAATGTGGGCTTCCATGGGCATCGCATTCTGGCTCCAGGGCGTCCTCGGCCCATCGACCGAGGCCTCCAACCCCGCCAACGCCTCCACCGAGGGAGGGAAAGACCAGCTCGGACGCGCAGAGTGAGAAACACTCCAAGATGTAGCCGAGCATGGAGCAGAAGAAGCGGTCTTACTCGGACACGGACTCAGACATGGATACCGAGAATGACTACGAGAAGTTGCCCAGCATACAGCCAGACGCGAGCCAGCCAGAAGTCGCAGAGCAGACCCAGGACCCTGGACGAGAGAAGGGAAGCCATCGCGGACTTGGCATCCTCAAGACCAAGCAACGCAAGGAGGACGAGGCGCGCGTTTGGGGCTCAGGGGAAACTTTTCCGACTTACGGGAAGCATTTCGCAAACTGCGGGACGTAATCGCTCAACTCAGGGAAGGAGGGTCCTTCAAGCTTTGCCGTGTGGACCCAGAGAGTCCGAAAACGTACGACAAGAAGTCGAATTACAAGCCAGACGAGGACAAGTTTTCCAAGAGTAAGCGCAGAAAACGTCACATAATCTCGTTTTCCGACTCTCTCTGAATCCAGGGTTTCACAGACAAGGGGCAAAATTTTGGGACATTTTTTTCCAAACCGGAAGGGACCTCCAGAGGGCCCGCAGAGTCCCCGAAGCCTGGGAAACCACCAGTAGGACCGGGTAGTAGCCTGCAGTACAGATATAGATACAACAGCTGGCCCCTTTCATCATTATCAGCTGTCGAATCGGAGCTTGGGAATCCCAGTCAAGCTTGATGGATAAAGCAAAACAAGGGAGTGCAGAAGCTTGCGAAGGATCCCAGGCAGGATTCATCGGACACTGAACGCCTTGGCAATTGGTTCACCTTGGTAAGCTCTACCTTGATTGGCTACCGCACTTTGCGGTAGACCCCGACATTACCTGCAACAGTCCTTATTCGACAGGCCAGGCGAAACCCTGGGATAAGCTGAAAACGAACTTAGATGCCGTGCCATCTCCTCCGAGCCTCGCCCTCCCCCTCCTCAGCACCAGCGAGTGGCGGCGGCCTTGCGAGAAGCAGCGTCAAGCATTCGTATTATGGTTAGGACGTTGGGGTGACAAGGGGGGGGTGGGGAAGAGGTACAGGGGTGAGGAGCTGCGAGCCGGCGCTAGGAGTACGTCGGATAGTAAAAAAAAAATGATTAGCCCTTAGAAATGGTTTCCCACCCGATTTGTTTTTCAGCACTCCTTGCCATCCTGCCTTCCCCTCTTTCTCCAGGCCAGGGCGGTAGCGCATGTCGACCCTCTACCTCCTTCCCTCTCCTCCGCATGGGTCTTGGGAACGAGCAAAGGCACAGCGTTGCTTGTTGCACTCTCCAGGGGAGCAGATGACTTCCCAGCAGAGGCATCAACTATGTATCTTGTAAGCCAGTTTGCAGTGGGAGAAACTTTCAGCTGAAACGCAATCCAATCCAATCCCCATCCCTATCCCTATCCATATCCCCTTGTATCCCTGCCCTGCATCATAACCCCTATCCCCATTCCCACCCCTTTGCCTATATCCATATCCCTACCCCCTTATGCTTATCCCTACCCCAATCCCCCCAATCCCCCCATCGTTGCCGCCTATCGTGACCCTCGTGGCCCCCATCGTAACGTGTGAAACTGTCTAGGGTTTTCTGTCGCAAGGCATCGTCGCAATCACGTGGTTGATCGATTTGGCCTTGTGGGCCTAGTCTAGTGCCAATGCCAAGCTCGAACAACCCACTCGGATTCTGGGGGAGGAGAAGGACACTGACGCCGCAATACTCCCAAGACCTCTCCTGGGGCGCGTCCTGACGAGGACTCCGAAGCGAATCTGGCCGTGGCGACTAATTAGGCCCACCCCACGGGAGGCCCAAGAGAGCGAACACGAGAGAAGTGAAGTGGTATCGGTATGTTCTTCTTTGATACCCCATACCTCCGACGGTGTGTTTCCGTGAGCAGTGCATGCTCTTCGGGGTCCTCACTTGGGATTCTAAGGAATTGGACGGGAGTCCCGAGAGTTCGCTGCGCTGCGGCTTGTTTCCGCCCAGTTGCCGCCTGAGAGGCGCCTGCGGGGGTGAAAGGGGGGGTCCCAAAGATTCGCCACGATCTGGCTCGTTGCCGCCCGTGGCCGCCTGTGGGGGTGCCCCGAGGATTCGCGCCACGCTCCCGCCAGTGGCCGCCTGTGGGGGTGCCCCGAGGATGCGTACTCCAGATTCCGTAATAAAAGGGAGGGGGTCTGGACCCTCCAAGACAAGCCATTTCAGACCTCCCCCGTGGGAGAACCCTCCAAAACATCGTCCCCAGACCCCCCAGGCTCTCCAAGATAGCTTGGATGAGACCCCCCTCCCTTTATTACGAAATCCGGAGTACTTGCTCCTCGTGTCACCGCAGCTTGTCCCGAACCCGTGTTTGCACTCAGGGCTTCCTACTTCGGCTGGCACGGACCCTGGTGGGCCCGCCGAGGTCTCGACACGTCGCCGCCCGTTGCCGCCCACCGCGTGGGGGGGGGGCCCGTCGAGGTCTCACCGCCCGGGGCCCTGCTCGCCCTCGAGCCCAGGCCTCGCCTCTCACCTCCCGCCTGCCCCGAGCGGGGCGGGCCGGACCGCCGCACGCAGTCCTCGCGACCGAGCGGCAGGCGAGGGAGCGGGAGCGGGGGTGGGGGCGGAGCGTGCTGTCGGGTCTCTGGGACTTTCCGAGGTCACCACACCAGCCCCCCCCCCCCCCATCATGGGGATTCTCAAGGCAATGGCCATGATTCAAGGCCCTCACTCCCGGCGGCCGGGGGGTGGGGGGGTGGGCGGGGGGGGGGGAGGGCAGACCCCGCCCTAGCCGGGGAAAAATCCGAGCCGAGGAAAAACCCAAACCGAGGAGAACCCGAAGCGAGGATCGTGAGTAACGAGAAAGACAGCAGAGGAGCTCGGGAAGTTCCTGCGCAATTCTGAGGGGCCAGGGGGGAAGGACTGGCTGACTGAGCACGAGAGCCTGCCGCACCACCAGAAAGCGACCTTGCCAGCCGAGACGAGACATAGACCCCACTTCGGGGTAGATGCCAGACATGCGACACCCTGGCCCCGGGTCCACCAGGGAAGCCCAGGCATGCGGAGGAAGAAGAGGAAAGAAGACGCCGTCGTGCACGCCGGAGGTGCCTGGGCAAAGCAAGAGGCGATGATGAGGCCGATGTTTCAGCTGGGCGCTTTGAAACATTCTAAATGCCAGCCGTGGATTATGTGAGTGACGGAGAAGGGATAGGAGCAGGAGGAGGAGGAGGAGGAACAGGATGACCATTCGGGACGATTCGCCCAATGCCAGCGCGGCCACGGGCGTATCTGAAGGCGTGGTGTTCTGACTCAGAGTCGCCGTTCCCTCAACGAACAACGCGTCTTGCACCTGCCAGACATGCAACTCGCTCCAATATCCCGCTGGCGTGCACACGAGGACCCAATGAGCCAAGCAGAAAAAAAGAGGAGGAGGAGGAGGAGGAGGAGGCTGGGGAGGGCATTGGGGAAGGGAGGGAGGACAAGAGCAGGAGGAGGAGGCGGAGGAGGAGGAGGAGGAGGAGGAGGAGGAGGACGAGGGGGCGGAGGAGGACCAGGGGTGGGTGGGGGGGAAGTCGGGGCAGCGACGGCAGCGAGGACGCGGAGGAGAGGGGCGGGGAAGACGAGCCTGATGTGTGAGGGCGGGGAGGGGGAGGCAGCGGATGGAGGATGAGTCGAGGAGCGGGGGCGGGAAGGGGGCAGGGAGGGGGAGAGAGCGGTCGGGCGGCCGCCTGACGCCGCACTCCTTCTCGACGAAGGAGCTCTCCGTGCAGGGCACGATCAGCGGTGACCCCTGCGAGGCGTCGTCCAGGCCGAGGTCGGACATTTCGCTCCAGATGATGCACTGTGGGCGCGCTCCCCTCCTCGTTCTCCTCGCCCTGCTGCTGCTTCTCCTTCTCCTCCTCATCATATCCCTCTTCCTCTCCCACGTGTTCCTCAATTCGTCCTCCTCCTCCTCCTCCTCCTCCTCGTCGTCCTCCTCCTTCTCCGCATCATAATCTTCATCCACACCTTACCCTTCTCCTCGCCTTCCTGGACGTCCTCTGCTTCACATATTTCCCCTCCTGCTTCTCCTGCTCCCGTTTCTCCTCACCCTCCTCATTATCCCTTCCTCCCTTTCTTCCTTCCTCCCTCCCTCCCTTCTCCCCTCTTCCCCATCCTCATTCTGGTGTTTCTGTTATTCTTCCTCCTCCTCCTGTCTTCCTCCTCCTCCTCCTCCTCCTCCTCCTCCTCCTCGTTAGAGCTTAGAGCTGTTGACTAGAGTGTCAATGCGACGCAGCCATTCCTCCTCCTCCTCCACCTGATCCTCCTCCTCCTCCTCCTTCTCCTTCTCCTCCTCCACCTCCGCCTCCTCCTCCCTCTCCCTGTGCGTGGGAAGCCGAAGAGAGGGGCGAACACGAAGTGAGAGGATCCGAAGTGAAGGCCGGTGGAGGCCCAGGTGGGTAGAGCTCTCCTGTGGCCCAACCCATAGTCGGCAAGCAGGAAAAACAGAGCGTCGTCGTCGCGCTCCCCCCGCGTCTCCGCCCCCTCTCCGCCCCCCTCCGGCCCTCCTCCTGCCGAGGACATGGACATGGAAATGGTGAGTTCGCGAAGCGAAGAGATGAATTAAGGAGGTGTGCGTCCTCTGGCTCGGGGAGGGAGGGAGGGAGAAAGGACAGGCGGGAGACATGGAGATGAGGGAAGGACCCACGACTCCAGCGTCGTGATTTGTCCGCAACGTCGACCCCCGGAGGTCTGGACCGCTTCCCCAGGACCAGCTTTTCGGCCTGGACCGCTCTTATGACTGCCCTTTAAAAACCTCCCCTCGGGATCCTTTCACGACGAGAGGCGGTGGGGGAAGGAGGGAGGAAAGCAGGGCGATGTGGTGTGGCGAAGATGTATCGGGTGGGCAAGTAGAGGCCTCCGAAATGGGGTCGGAGTCGGAGTAGATCGGGTTGGAGGATCGCGCCGCACCGTCGATGCACCAGACCATGGGACGGCTGGCGACGGCGGCGGCGACGGCGGCAGCAACGGTGGCGGCGACGGGCGGCAGCTGCGGCGACGACGGCGACGACGGCGGCGGCGATGGCGGCGATGACAATGGCGGCGGCGGCCTCCCGCTGGGAGGCTCCACGACGACGGCGATGGTGGCGGCGACGGCGGCGGCGATGATGGTGGCGCCAGGACGGCCCTAGAAGCTCTCCACGATGCTCCAAAGAGGCTCCGAGGCAGCCAAACAAGGCCCCCCCAGTCGCGGAGCGGACCTTCAAATGGCACGTTCTCGCAGCAGCTCCGCCCAGGCGACGAGCATCCCACGCCCAAGCGCGTGCCCAATGCATGCTGGAGATCTCCCTGGGGGGCCTCGCCCAGCCCTGGGTGCTGCCAGGCGTGCAGCGGTCGCCGCTCTCGTCCGTCCCTGGGGTACCAGCGGAGAGACGCCCTACGGCAGGGCAGGTTCGAGTTGCGTCGGCCTCTGTCACCGCGTGGGTCGTTCAACCTGGAACGATCGGACGCTTTTCGATCGCCAGATCGTTCAATACTGGCCGATTCTGGGCCACCGGCGGCGTTCAACCTGGAACGCCCGTGCTGGGGTCGCAGCCGCGTCGACACGACACGAACCTACCGTACGCAGCTCAGAACGAAACTTCCCTGAATAGACATACACTTTCGACGGTCCGCGCGGATTTCTTGGATCTGCGCTGGACCCCCTCTCTGGCGCGCGCGCGCGCGCGCCAGGGGGGGCGCCAGAGGCGCCGCCAAGGGGGTCAACCGCAGATCCAAGAATCCGCGCGGACCGTCAACGGTTTATGCTTGTGCTGCTGCTTCTGCTTCTTCTTCTTCGATGAGTGCTGCCCAGCGCGCAGCTGTCGTCGTCCTCCTGCGCGCCCCGAGGGGGCCGGCGGGGCGACGCCCTGCGCGGATCGGGGCGGGACCTCGCCCTCCCGGGGGGCTGCGACGCGCGCGGCCGCAGCCGCTCGCGTGCCCTCGTGGGGCGTCCGGCCGTGCGACGTCCTGCCGATGGCGGAGCAAACAGTGACAAAAACACAAAAACTTTCGGAGGTCCGCGCGGAGTCCCGGGATCGGCGCTGGGGCCCCTTGGCAGTGGCTCTGGCGCCGCGGCGCGCCGCCCCTGGCGCGCGCCGCGCGCCAACGAGGGGGGTTCATCGCAAGTCCAAGTCTAAGAAGTCCTCGCAGACCGTCGGAAATCTGCGATTCTGCCATTCTCCGTCTGCACAGGTTCAACCGATCCCCATTGCTGTTTGCGAAATAAACGCCCGTGCCGGGTTTAGGTAACAAGACGTCGAAGCGCGCACCTCCCGCCACTGCATTTCAAGGTTGACGGGACGCGATTGGCTTCTCGCGAGAGTGGGCGTTTGTTTCGCAACACTCTGCACGCCCTTCTGGCGCGGTTGCCCGCCAACTTTGAGACGCAGGGTGTCGGGGGGCCCTTTCGGCATTTCCATTGGCGGGCGTTTATTTTGCAAACGGCGGTACCCCCACTGCCACCATGGCCTTGGCCCCACTTGGCCCCACTGGGATACACATTGTTCACTTCGGGTCTCGCGGGAACTGTCCCCACCTGGACCGGTGGACTGGTGGGGCAGAGACACCATGGCCCAGTGAGGATTGGGATCGGTCAGACGATGCGGACATATGCTCATTCGTCATCGTGTGCTGCCACGTCTTTGGTGGGATTGGGTCATTTCCTTGAGAAGTGTCTGACCCTGTCGTGTCAAATCAAGGCCTCAAGGGCGACAGCGCAACTGACAACTGTCCGAACTGACAGCGCAAATGAAACCGACCGAAACTGAAAATCTCCAGGAAGCGGCCGAGAACGGCACAGAAACACGGCAACGACACACCAGCCGCCTGAACCGAACCAACCGAGCGCAATCGACTACGAACCAGCACCCCCGCTTGCCGGGGGTGAAAAGGCGTGTGAGACATTTGGCTGTCCCCTTCCCCCTTCCCCCCTCCAGTGGGGTACAACAAAATCCTTTCAGAGGGGGGACCCACCCATCCCGTGGGGGGAAGAGCTCGTCCACACACCTCTGAGGCCCTCGGAGCTTCCAAATCCCCCCTCCGTGGCCGCCAAACATGCCTTTCAATGTGGCTCCAAAGGGGTCCACCACACCACAGAGACTTCAAGAGCACCCAAGATGGCCTCAAGAGGGCCCCAGATGCACCAAGCGGACCCCAAGAGGACCCCCGAAGAGGGCCTCAAAAGGCAAAAACATCTGGTTTCCAATGTTTTTGAACGACTTTCGGGTTCTCGTTTTTCGGGCATCTGAGAACCCACAAACGACCCGAGAGGCCCCCCAGACCGTCCCAAGACGGCCAAAGGGGGCTCGAAGAGAGCCCAGGAACGGCTCGAAGGCCCGAAGACTGCCCAAGCGGCCCCCAAGAAGATCACAAGGCCCTCAAGAGCGCCCCAAGAGAGAGAACTCGCATGGATCCTGGGAGCCCTCCCCCACCAGATGGCCCCCAAGTCCCCCAACATGCAGGCAAGATGCCCTCAAGAAGCTTCCAGGGGGCTCTCCAAGGCCCTGGGGGACCTCGAGAAAGCTCCGAAAGGCCGCCCCCCCTATGCCTCGAAAGCGCCCCCAAGAAGCCCCGCAACAGACGCGGAGGAAGAGGACGCCGAATTAGCAGCAACTGCAGGCAGGCAGCACGACGGGCAACACTACGCTGCGCTGAGCCATACGCCGAAGCGCGTGGGCGAAGACAGAAAAAGAACTATAACGCCAAGGCACCGGGCATCACATGCAATGTGTGGGTAAATAGCTGCTATTATAAGTGGTCACCTTCATCATCCTTGTTCGCAATGTGTTCCACAATCGTTCGCCACTCGACGGGGTCCTGCAGGCGCTGCGACCAAGTGTGTTCCAGGTCAAGATGATCAACCCGCACCTTGTTTAGACATTTCGCCCATTCGTGTTCGGATCTGCCTTTCCCCCTTTGATGAGCATCCAAGGCTGAACGAACGGTGCCAGACTGAAAAGTGAGTCGTCGAAGAAAGTCTACATCCGCAGCCCGACCAATTTCCCCAAATAGTGCTAGCCGCCCGCTCTGCGGTTGATCAGGAGTTCCCTGTGTGTAGGAGAAGGGGCGTGCGCCTGTGCTCGACGACGATGGTGAGAATGAGCGGGCGGCGGTGGTGCCGCAGGTGAGGATCAGGAGGGTGAGGATCAGGAGTGTGAGACTCACGAACTGGGGGTCCCTGGAGGTCATCCGTCCTCCTCCTCCTCCTTCTCCTCCTCCTCCTTTTCCAATCCCTCCTCCTCCTCCTCCACATCCTCGTTGTCTCCTCCTCCTCCTCCTCCTCCTCCTCCTCTCCTCCCGCCTCCCTTCTTCCTCCTCCGTCCTCCTGCGTCTTCCTCCCTGCTCATCCTTGTCCTCCTCGTTCTCGCCCTCGTGCAAGTCCTTGTTCCCCACATGTTTCGTGGGGCTTTGATTTTCTTCCCACCTGCGCCGCACCCGCTTCTCACACCTCCCTCCCTCCTACTTCTTCCCCTCCCTCCTTCTACATACTGGGGACACACATGAGACACACATCCATATACAGCCTTGCACTCATCATACACATAAACAAAAAACGCCATACACGAGGCATGCGTGCAAGATTCGCAGCGCATGGCAGGCGTGTCACTTCCTCGACACCGCAAGGGGTGCGCTGGAGGTGTGGGCGCTGCCCGTTTCCGAAGGGGTACGCTTGAGATGGGGGCGCTATGCGTTGCAGGCTCGCAGGGCGTGGCAGGCGTGGCTTTTCCTCGACGCCTCAGGGGGGGCGCTGGGGGTGGGGGCGCTATGCGTTGCAGGCTCGCAGGGCGTGGCAGGCGTGGCATTTCCTCGACGCCACAAGGG